AAGTTTTTTTTACCTCATTCTTGTTTGGTTGAATTTTATCAGCTTAAATACTATCTTTAGACTTTTTTAAAGATTCTGTTTTAATAGCTTTTAATGATTTTCTTTATATTTTATTTTATCATATTTGTATTGCTTCGTATTAAAAAATGCCAATTGAACTACAGGTTTAAAAAAGTGCAACCAATCAAACTACAGGTTTAAAAAAGTGTAGCCAATCGAACTACAGATTTAAAAAAGTGTAGTCAATCGAAATACAGGTTTAAAAAAATGTAGTCAATTGAACTACAGGTTTAAAAGATCAATTGTCACTTTTATGCTACAATTAATTGCCATTTTTGTTTGCTTGCACTTTTGTTTACAACAGGAATAAATTGCAGTTCTAATATCTGCAACTGTCTTATTGTACTTTTATTAAACTCAGGTTCGTTAACAAACAGCAATAATAAAAAATTTTCATTTATCAGTCATATAGTCGATGCTTATAAATTAGGTTTAATTTACCGTTAGCTTTACCATTAGCTTTAATTTACCGAAAATCAATTGAAACAGGAAAAATTCCTAGCAAATGGAAAGAAGCAAATATTACTCCAATATTCAAGAATGGAAATACAACAGACCCGCTTAACTACAGACCCGTATCATTAACATCTGTACCAGGTAAAGTTATGGAAGCATTCATAAAAGAAGCAATAATGACTCATCTGATGGAAAATAAATTGCTATCAAAAAATCAACATGGCTTCGTAAAAAATAAAGCCTGTGTAACAAATTTGCTAGAAACATTAGACATTTTAACAGCAAGCATGAGTGACAGTTTAGCGGTAGATATGATTTATATGGATTTTGCCAAAGCCTTTGATAAGGTTCCACATAAAAGACTGTTGAAAAAGTGTGAAGCATATGGTATCAAGGGTGTAATAAATGACTGGATATCGTCTTTTTTAAAAGAAAGAAGGCAAAGAGTTGTGATGGGTGTAGACGTGACTCCATGGCTTGAGATTTTTAGTGGTGTGCCTCAAGGCTCTGTGCTTGGTCCTTTGTTATTCTTGATATTCGTAAATGATCTACCATCAGTTATTAATTCCAATTGCAAATTATATGCATATGACAGTAAACTTATCAAAGTTATAAAAAATGTTGAAGATCATGAGTCTTTGCAGAATGACATTAATGAATTTGTAAAATGGATGGATATCTGGTTGACAAAGTTGAACATCGAAAAGTGCAAGGTGATGCATTTAGGTAAAAAGAATCCACGTATGAGTTATTGTATGAACCACGACAACAAAGAGTATAAATTAAAAACAACAGTAAGTGAAAGAGATTTAGGAGTGATTATTTCATCCGACCTTAAATGACATGATCAAGTGACTTCAGCGACAGCAAAAGCACAAAGAACTTTGGGTCTAATTAAACGTACGTTTACATACTTCGATGTGGAAATGGTGAAATCACTATATACGACATTTGTGAGACCGCTTCTTGAGTTCGCTATACCTGCATGGCAGCCTTATTTACAACGGGATATTGATGAGTTAGAGAAAGTGCAAAGAAGAGCAACGAAGTTAGTTACACAACTTAAAAAGATTTCATATGAAAAAAGACTGAAAGCAATGGGTTTAACAACATTAGAGAAAAGACGAGCTAGAGGAGATCTTATACAACAATACAGATTCAAGCAAAATATAGACCAAATAAATTGGTACAAAAATCCAAAACCGGCATCATCCGTGACTAGTTCAGGCCCGGCTTTTTCTGTAAGGGGCAATAAATACAGGCTAGAAAGAGAATACGTACCATCATGTTTACCGAGATATAATTGTTTTACCAATCGAGTTTGTAAAAATTGGAATTTGTTACCAAATGAAATCATTGAAGCAACATCGTTGAATGTTTTCAAAGCGCGAATAGATAAACATTTTTCATAACTTGTGTTTTTTTTTTTTAATTTGTGTGGGCTGTCTATAACCCGATGCTTGCATCGCGTTCCACAATTTATTTTATTTTTAAATATTTATATTTAAACAAATATGTAATTGTTACAGCAATAAATATTACTATTACTATCACTGGGTTCATTCTCAAGCTGTTACGTTGGCTTTATATTTAAGTTTAATAGGTTTATTATTTTCTACATATTTTATCATCATAAATAGCTTAATAATTAATTAATTTTTAAATTATTTTAGATCTTTTTACAACGAAAAATAACACGTTGTATTTTCCACAATGTAAACATATGCTATTCATAATGTATAGTACAATTTTTCTCTAATATTTATATTTAGAAAATTTTGCAGCTACTGATTTCATATTTTTGTTCATTCAGTCTGGTAAGAAACAATTTGAAATAGACATTTGATAAAAATTAGGATATGGACTTTGAGTGACATTCTGCATCTCATTTTAGTATAGTTTTTTATAAGAATCTAAACTCTACATAGTTTTCAGCCTCATCTTAACTACCTAGGAAGTAACGAACGATTGCAACAAAACTGTCTCCATCCGCTCTATTTCCGTCCTGCTTAGGAGCTCGGCAAATTTGTCACATGTTATAAACTTCTTGATTTGTGGTTTAATGAAGGTTCCACCACTAACCTTAGCTTTTTAGTCGGTACTTATAGAATGCCGACTCTTTATCAAGAGTAGTCACAAACTGCTTGAAAGAACCTAAATTGGTTTGTAGTGATGGCATAATCACTTTCTGAGGCTCTATCAGCGGCTCCCACGTTTTAAAAGCCCATATTTTATTTTTTGTTTTATTTTAAGTTTTTTTCTGTTCCTTAATATCACAAATAGGGATGGCGCTTTTACTTATTTTGATGTAAAAACGCGATTTACTTTTAAGCGTAAATTACTTTCGTAAATTATATTTTCCGTGAAAATTCACGGAAATTAAGAAGCAATTTTGCAAATTTTCCGTGAAAATGACGTATTTCTGAGTAAACCAATAATCAACGTAATAGAATATAAGAAGCAAGTTTTGTAGTGTATGAATATTTATAATATAATGACAATCGAATTAATTTTAATATTGATTGACATATATTGTCAATCAAAATTAAAATCAATTGAAATCTATTGTTTTTGATTGTTTTTTGATGTTGAAACAAAGCAAGTATTTGTGCAAATATTTGCTTTGTTTTTAAAACGAACTAGTAAATACTTGGTATAATGCAATTAGAATAATAATTGATGAATTTGCGCCTGTTAAAAATTTTTCATGTCGAACAATGGATTGACAAAAAAAAAAAAAAGTTATGATAAAAAGAAGAGATTATTTAGCAAAAAAAAGGGGAAAACATATAGAGTTTACAGATGAAAAAGAAAAAGAACTTAAGGATATTAAAAAACAGATCAGAAGCCTTATAAGGAAGTTTGAAATAGAAAAAGGAACAGAAACATTCCAAAGCGAAAACCCCAAAGATGGTTGGAGTTATATTAAGAAAATGTGTTTCAATACTAAAGATAAAAATCAAACCCTCGATAAAAATACAATCAACTTAAACAATCTAAATAACCATCTAGCATCAGTAGTTCAATGTAAAAATAGGATTTCACTTGTCTGGCCATACGTATGTGACCAAATAGACAGCTTTAGGTTTAAGTTAGTGAAAACAGAAACCGTATTGAACGTAATTAACCAAATAAAAAACAACTCATCAGCTGGGCATGATGGACTATCAGCTTATTTAATCAAACGATTGGCCAATTCTCTAACAACAAATCTAACTATCATTTTAAACAAATCTATAGATGAGGGTGTATTTCCTGAAATCTGGAAAAAAGCCAATATTACAACAATATGGAAGGGACAAGGTAAAAAATCTGATCCGGAAAACTATCGCCCTATCTCAGTTTTACCATTACTTTCGAGAGTTTATGAAAAAATAATATGCAGACAACTATCCGAATATAGTGAAGCTAAAAAGTTAATACCAATCCAGCAATTTGAATTCAGGAAGAACTCAAACTGTGAAACAGCATTAATAACAGCAACTAACTCCTGGTATAGCTCGTTAAATGAAGGAAAACTTGTAGGCACTCTATTAATAGACTTGACAAAAGCATTTGATAGTGTTCCACATCAAAGTCTACTAAATGAGCTTGATAAAATAGGTCTAGGCCAAAAAGCTGGTAAACTATTCCAATTATATATATATATATATATATATATATATATATATATATATATATATATATATATATATATATATATATATATATATATATATATATATATATATATATATATATATATATATATATATATATTATAGTCTGTTAGGTCCTTGTAGAGTTTCCTTTTATAAGTAAAGGTAGGGAAAGTTAACTCTGATGCAAAATACCTTCTCTAACTTCTCTAGAGCCTTTGGGCTCTAGAGAAGTTAGAGATGGTATCTCAAAACAAATATATACTCATATTGAACATATTTTAATTACATCTGAATACTTTTATAGATATACCATAATAAATAATAAATAAATATACCATAATAAATAATAAATAAATATACCATAATAAATAATAAATAAAGTAAATAAAGTTTTAAATCTGAGTAACATTTCTTAGGTTCATTTTTTGCTGACATTTCTTACATTTCTTACTTTCATTATGAAAGCAAATTAAACAAGGCAGCTTAATATGGATAACTTCAAAACATGAACTTTGATGTTTGCAGTGGAGAGATGAGTTGAGCTCTGTACCACCAGGAGTCTGTAATCATTCAGTAATCACTTAGATTCACTTAAAAACAATTTAATTACAGCAATATGATTTTTGTATATATTATTTGTGTATAAGTGTCTTTTTATCTACTTTTTTTTTATTATTATTGGTGTTTTTAAATTTAATCACAGTTTACAAACAGCTTAATTTTATTGGTTTTTAAAATTAATACACAGTTTACGAATCACAGTTTAATTTTATTGCTATTTTAAATTTAATCATTTACTTAATTAATTAGTTTACAAATAATTTTAAAACGTGTCTCACTGATGATGTTTTTTAAACAAATATATATTCAAAATTTATATCTATAAAAAAATATAATTTTGTATGAAGTTTGTTGTTTATATATCAAACTGGACAACTACAATTGAACACAATGATTTTGTTATGTGTTTATCAAGAGTTTTTTTGAAAATTTTTTAAGATTTTTCAAGTATTTAAAAATAATTTCAACAATGCAAGATATTCCAAATGAAAAATTTTGCGATTTTAATGCTGCAGAAAAGGCTGCGATGAATAACTGCAATACCCATTTTTATCCAATTAGAGTTGATTAAAATTTGAAAGTTACAATAAGAAAGTGAAGCAAGAATCACAAATTAAAAATCAACCTTCAGATTCAATAAATGCTTGCAGGTTTACATTTACATTTATGTTTTTAATATTTTTATTTACTAAACTTTGTGGTGTATTTATATCTATTTTATTACTATATATGGATTTCCTTTTAAAAAAATACTTAAAAATAATCATAAAAAAATGTTTTTATTTACAATTACAATTACTACCTTAAAAATAGTGTTGTTCATGTACTTTTCATGTTTACAGATGGACATGCAAACATTTGGGCCACCAAAAACCTTATCTTATGAAGAAAAATCAAGGTAAGCGCAATAATCAGGCAATACTTCCATGTGGCTGCAAAATGTTTATGTTTCATATGACAACCAACGACAATGCTATGGTGTTAAAAAATTGTTTCTTGAACACAACCATCCATATGGTATAGAAGAATTTTCTATGTATAGTTCACAGCGTCAACCAAAAGGATTATTAGAACAGCAGACATTGATGTTGATTGAACATGGGGCAAATACAGCACTTGTGACAGATATCTTTAATAGAAGCGGTTTGAAAACTAAACCTAGAGATATTTACAACATAAAACAAAAGCTTAAATTCAAAGGTTAGTTGTTTTTGTATAAACAGTGTTGAGAAAGATATTAGAATCACATGTTTTTTGTCTATTTTAGCAATTGTCATAATATATATTTTTTTATTCAACAGAGTAAATCTGCCTTGAGTTCCTTTTTAGTTTCATAAAACTATTTTAAAAATGCTGGTGGAAAACAATTTGATTATTCTTTGAGTTAGAGAATAATTTCATGTAAAGTTGATGAGTAACATATTGTTGTTACAATTATACATATAATATATGATCTTTTACTTCCATTATTATTGTTTTTTTATGAAGAAAAAAAACATTGGCACTACTGATTTTGAAATATTAAGTAATGTAGCATGTCAAACCCTTTTTTGTTTTATTTTATTATTTTTTGTATTTAATATAAATTTTTATGTACTTTTGCAGGGAAAAGGTAGAGATCTGAGTCCATGAAAGAAAGAGAAAGTGGATGCTTTGTTAAAATTGGGGATTGTGACACAGAGGGAAATCAGTAAATAATTAGGCTTAATTCAAAAGGCACTCTAAACTGTAAAGCAGAGGCTAGAATTAAGAGGCCCGGCTAACTTTAAAACATTCCACATCTGAGAGAAAATTTTCACACATGCCAAAAGAACAACATTTCAAAAAAGTTTCTGTGAGCTGTTTTGTTGTCACCTCATCCAGGCTGGCTACATTATTTTTTAATGAAGTAAAACACTTCTAAATATAATTGTTGCTTATAGAGTTATTAAATTTAAAATGAATAGACAATCAGTACATCGTTTTATTATCCTTGGGCAACTGATTATGATGCAAATGACCATTTTACTAGCTGTCTTTTTTCTTTTGGGCTAAATTCATGACTTTTGTCTTCTCTTTTATTTATATTTGTGTTTTAGATTGTCTTTAGTGATAAATCAACATGTTAAGTCCTTGATAACTAGTGGCAGAATGTTCGACGTTGCTCTGATTAGAAACACTTCCAAATTCCTGGTAAAAACTGTGAAGCATCCAACATCAGTAATGGTGTGGTCTTTAATCTCAGTTCATGGTGTTAAAAGGTTGTATATAGTGGAGGGCACAATAAGACAGCAACGTGTACTTTATGTTAAACTTACTTGTGTTCTGAATTCTAATCTGCACGTTATTTTTTTATTTTCAGGTGTTACTGTTATTGAATTAATATTAAACTTATGTTAAACTAAAATTGAACTATTGAACTTTTCAAGTAATAAACTGTCAACTAAACTATAAAATAGTAGTTCCAGTTCTGGCAAATCCAGTTTGAGATTCACTTCTAAGCACTAGGTTATTGGAAAGCCAATTTTTCAGTTATCTACAGAAAGATTGTATGCTGGACAAAGACATGTATGCTGGATGTAATTTAACTGCTCCAGTTTCATTATTTAAGTGAAAAGAGAAGTCTTCCTGAAAGTCTTGTGATGCATTAATTTGTACTTGGATGAAATCCAGGATACCAAACAGCTGGTTGATGTGTCAGAAAACTGTCAACAGAACTATCTGGCTTTAAAGGTACACAGAACACGGCAACGCAAAAGTGACAGGATGAAAGAAGACAAGTTTAAAAGTGATCTTGAAGAATTGTTTGGTATTGCGACATTGGATATGATGACAGAAATATAGAACAAACAAGATTAGTATTTTTAATTTTTTTCTTGCCTCAAGATTGGAGCAGATGTAAACACAGCAGCAGCAAAAAAAAAAAAAAGCAAGAAAAAGCAATGAGAGGAACAAGAGAGAAAGAGAAAAAAAAAGAGAGAGACAAAAAAAAATGATATAAAGAACGCTCGACCAAATGGCATAAACGAAACAGAAGGTGAACTTTCTTTGTTGACATCTAATTCAGAATCACAAGAAGATGAGGAGTATCAGCCAACTCAGCCATGTATGCCAACAGTGTCAACAATCAACAGATTCAACAGCTTCTACTTCATCACTAAAAAAGAAGTTTAAGAATATCTTCCAGTTACCTGAAGTTGTAGATGAATATGTAATAGATGCAACTTGTAATAAAAGTTTAAGTATGATTTTTTTAAATTTAATGAAGATAATTATAAGTAAGATTTATTTTATTTTAATGTTATAAAATATGAAATTAAAATATCTTTAGGAAAATAATTGCTTGCAAGTTAGATACAATGATTGTTTGTTTCCCCTTCATAACTGGACTTGCCAATGTGATAATGCTACTGGTTATGGAGTTCCATGCTCTCATGCTTTCTTTGCTATTAGAGAAAAAAATATGAACTTATCTGGTTTAGATCTTATTCATAAAAGGCACTAATTATTTTTGATTTGTATTAATAGTAGTAGTATGTTGAAAAATATTTAAAATGAATAAAATATTTTTAGGTGGTTTGTTCCTACCCATCAAATGGCAAATGTAAACCAAGGGACAATTTATCTAATTCATGCATGACATTTTCAATTCAACCAGTGGCATTATGCAACTCCACTGTTAAGGAAAGATATAATACAGCTTTGAGCCATTTGCAGCCTTTGGCATCTATCTTGTCTGAATTTACACCAAGTAAGTTTGATTTAGCTATTAAATGGCTGAAATCAGTTTGCCAACAATGCATATCTGGAGAGTGGGAACTTTTTTTTTTTTTTTTTTTTTATTTTAATTCACCTCCTCAAGGCCGAGACGGCCACTACAGACGAGGAGGCTACTTATTTGTGGCTATAACCCTCTCTCAACTCTATAACTCCGAAACACGAACCTTGACGAACAAGGCCGCTGCGCGGAGAAACGAGTTTAGCGCGGTACTACCAGGGACGTGGTGGGAATCGAACTCGGAACCACTCGTTTATGAAGCGAGCGCTCTACCACTACACCACTACCGCATTATTACCGCAACTGCAGGTAAAAATAATAAAATCTATAATTAAATTAATAAATAATAATTCATTTTATTTGACAAGTTAAACTAAAGTTATACTTGCACAAGGCTGGGGCCAATATAGTCAAGGAAGTATTTTTTAATTTAATTTTTATTGTATCTCTCTCAACTCTGAAATACAATCTCCAATGCCGTTAAATGAAGATGCAAGTTAAACAACATATTTCTAGGTGGCGTTGAACTGTAAACCACTTAATAATGAAGCAAGAATCTATTATACTACGTCATTAAATCTCCTGATAAATCATTTACATTTATTTTCTTTATGTGCAATCTATCATGAGTTGTAATCATAATGCTATATAAATTTTGTACAGGTTCAACAGCACCATTCTGAAGATGATGTCATTTCAGAAAATAATTTTGAGACTAATGTTGAAATATTTCCTGAATGTTCTTCTGCAACATTAGAATGTGTTTTGCCTGTATCACCTCAAGTTTCTCTACAAACAAACTCTGTAGCTACATCAAACGTTTCCCCAACAATCACATGTGAGACTCTTCATGTTGAAAGATTGCAGACAAATGTTGAAATATTTCCTGAAAGTTCTTTATCTGCAACATTGGAATGTGTTTTGCCTGTCTCACCTCAAATTTCTATACAAACAAACTCTGAAACTACATCAAAAAATTTTCCAACAATCACTTGTGAGACTCTTCCTGTTGAAAAAAGGTATACTACTCGAATTTTAGAAGACATTGACATTGTATTACGTAAGCCACAGCGCTTTCCCCCAGGTCGACCAGCTGTAAAAAAACAGAGACTTTTTTACAACGTTACAAAACCCCTTGAGAAACTTGGCGTTTATGAAAAAGATTTTATTCGTTTAACTTGGTTCGTCAAAGATTCCATTGCGCAGAATTCATTACAAAGTGGTAGTAAAATCTCAATTAATGATCTTTCTTCTACTGTACCTTATATCATTAATGATAAAAGCTAACTTACATGAACTTGAACAATATTTTGATGAGTCTGCTTGGGCAGAGATTGTAGTAAGATGTAAGAGCACTTCATCCGATAGTTGGCCATGTTATTATTGTCAACAAATTCAATCAGCCAATAAACTTCAAAAGTGGATTCAGTGCTATCACTGTTTATATTGGTATCATTACTATTGTGTTGGTATTTCAAGAAAACCTAAAGGTCACTGGTTTTGTATGAATTGCAAAACCTAATTGAAAAGATTATAATACTATATATTCATATATGTATATATATATACATGTGTGTTTATATATGTAATAATAGTTTAACATAATAGCGTGTATATAACTTAACTATAAGTAGATACTAATTACAATTTGTTTTTTATTTAATACTTATTAAAATTTTACTTAAACATTTTTTAGACTTTTTAGCGTAAATTGATGTATCCTGTTAATATCGGCGCACCAAAAGAACAACGGTTAAACAGAATTCGTGTTTTTTTTTTTTTTTAAATATTTAAAATTTACATATTTATTTTAAAATATTTAAAACTTACATATTTAGATATTTACAATTCATTTATGCTAGACTATAACTTTATTAACATTTTATGTACCTGTTAGTCATTAGTTACTCTCTGCAGTATTGCTGGAAGGTATGATAACATAACTGCAAGGTAAACAGCTTTAAACCTTTCATTCATTGTATGAAAGACTGTATAAAGCTGTCTTGACTGTTAGCTAAGCTCTGTGACATAAGCGCAACTTAAAGGTTCCTTCTAGAAATGTTTTATTTCTATTTTATTATTGGAATGGTTTTAATGTATTTAGAATACATTATAAACGCTTATTATTTTAATTATTTCAATATGAGATTGTCAATCATTGTTGTTAGGATATTGAAACTGCTCCAAAATTAATAAAAAATAAACTTAATATTACCTCATCGTTCGACTTTAAGTTAGAACTTTTCCAAGCAAGCCTTTATAAGTACCTATTAGCAAAACTCTTCCTTTTATTAAGGAAGTTTTTTTTCTTCTCCATATTAAAAAGCCAGGGATTGTCGACCGTGTTTTATATAGAGATACTTAAATACACATTTATGTTCATTTGCTCTACCTAAGTAGTTAAACTTTCTCCCAATTTTATGGGGATACTTCTCTGCATACACATTTTTGCACCACAAATGTGTATTTAAAGATTTTAGTACATTTAAACCTAACAATATTATTACCACGTTCTTTACAATATATTTATTTCTCCGTGAACACACTTGCAATATTTGCTTACCTCTTAAATTGTCGCGATTACTATATACCATCTACCCTTAGAGATGACTAAAAAATATCCTGAATAAATTAAAAAGCATGAATGAAACTGCTCCAAAATTAATAGAAATAAACTTAATATTATCTCATCAATTGCGATTTACATTGTAACAAGAGATATTTATTTTTAATCTATATTCGACATTTGGCATTTTTTTGTAAACACAGCCAAAATGCTTTTAAAAAATTGGTAAGTTTTCAAAAAATACAGCCAAAATCATATGAAATTTGTTGCAAACTGCCAATAATTATATTAAATTTTGTTACTTTCCGCGTAAAATATCAAAAATTCGTCATGTATAAGATACACCAAAATCACTTCTTAACTTCTGTAAATTTTCAGGGAAAATAGCGAAAACACCTCCGTATTAAGTTCCGTGAATTTTCACAGAAAATAGCCAAAATCGCCTCCTAATTTCCGTGAATTTTCACGGAAAATAGCGAAAACTCCATATATTAAGTTCCGTGAATTTTCACGGAAGATAGCCAAAATTGCTTCTTATTTTCCGTGAATTTTCACGGAAAATAAGATTAAGCAATTACTTTACATAACTTTTTTTTTTTTTTTTTTTTTTTTTTTTTCCAGAAAAATATGAACAAGGTAAATTTACATTGAATTTATTACTGGTAGGACTTCCAGAAGATCACATGATCTTATTATGAAGCATTTTACAATCTATATAACGAATTAAAAGGTAGAAAATTTACAAATATTAAAAATTACATAAGCGTTAGAATATTCTTCAGATGTTAAGCAGGTTTTAACATAATATTTTATAATATGGATATATAACATTCTCAATATTGAACAATGTTATAATATAAAGTATTCAGTATATATTGTTTAAATAATATTCATCACACAGTCGACAAAAATATCAAATAACTTGAAATACTAAAAATAAATAAATATATTTTGTGTTGAAAAGATTATTTCTTTTGTTTTCTTTTTAAAGGAGGAATAAGACCATTTAAAAGAAAAATCAAAGTTAGGTAAAACTATTTTATTCCAAAGAAATGGACCACGATAAGAAATAAAAAACTGGTCAATTTTTGTTTTGCAAAACGGCTCTTGAATATTTTTACTATAACGAAGTTCATATTTGTTTTTTGGTTTTAAATTATAGAGATTTATAAAAACACTTGGAGATAAATTTTCTTTACACTTAAACATAAAACATAAAATATTAAAAATATTTAGTTCGTATATATTTAAAGCTTTCTTTTCTATAAGAAGTGGTGTTGAGCTTGAAAAACGATTTCCAAAATTAATTATGCGAGCTGCGTGTTTCTGATGCCGATACAGAATAACTCATATAAAAATATAATTTACTTACATTGAAAAGTAATTCGTTTTTTTTTTTTTTACATAAATGATATAAAATGCAAAACTTAATTACTTAAGTTAAGTTTTTTAAATGAGTAACTGTTACTTGAAAAAGTAATTTCCTTTTACAAGTAAAAGTTATTTGCATTTTTACTTTTACTTGTAAATATAATTTACTTTTAATGGTAAGCCGTGTAAAGTAATGTATTTTGAAAAGTAATTTTGTTTATACAGTAGAATCTCTCTAATTCGAATCTTCTTAATTCGAAAACCTAATCTAATTCGAATCTCCTTAATTTGAAAACCTCCATAATTCTATTAAATGCAAAGTCACCGTGAAATGCGCTTAAGAAACTCTTAGGTTTAACTTTTTATAACTCGAATCTCTATAGTTCGAAAACCTCCACAATTCGAATGGATTTTTTAGACTCATCAGTAAGATTCTCTCTGTAAATCGAACTTTTTTTACTTCTGACGTGTAAAAAGCAGGGCCGTCCTGAAGGGGGCTGTCCCTCCTCCCCAAAGCTGTCATATAGACATTTGAGTTGGCACATTAAGCAAGTTTTGCTCAATGTGCCAACTGAAATGCTTTTTGAGTTAGCATTTTGCTAACTATATTTATATATTTAATAATATAGAAGACATTTTGCCAACTATATTTATATTAAATTTATAGTTGGCAAATTTAAATATAAATATATTTGGCTATATTTATAGTTGGCAAATTGCAAGTATTATGGACTTTTTTTTTTTTTTTTTTTTTTTTTTGTATTTTAGTTGGCAAAAAAATACTTACACCCCCCTGCCCCCATGGAAACTAAACCTTCAAAATCTTTTTTCAAATTTCGAATGTGGTGAGTTTTTGAAAAACGATTAGTGTAAATTATCTTCTACTGTTTGAAAAAAATAGCATAAACAAGACACATAGAAAACATAGCATAAACAAGACACGAAGAAAACAATTTAAAGCCGAAATAAAAAACTCTGATGGAATTGAAGAAAGGAAAAACAAATAAAGAGGTTTCGAAAATTTTTGATAATCTACCAAACACTCTTTCAACCAGGAAAAAGAATAAAGATAAAATCTTTGACGCTTTTTGTAAATAAAATTTGACTAAACAGATGAAAGTTGATTCCTATTACCTAGTAAACAAAGTTGTACTTAAAAGCTTCGGAAGAATGGCAAAACTAATTTAAAAAAAGTGCAAAATAATTTGGAGTATTTTGACAAAGACTCTTAAAGACATAAATGGTGTCTTTGACATGAATTTACTAGCTCACAAAAGATAATCTACACTTACTGATTTTTTTTTTCAAATCAAAACACATAATATATATTGTTTTCAGGCCTAAGAATTACTATTTGTTTGATTTCTATTCCTTACTTTGAAAAGAATATTTGAAAAAAAGTCAACTTTCTATAATTCGAAAATCTCTCTAATTCGAACTTTTATTGTTCCCCATAAAATTCGAATTAGAGAGATTGTACTGTTGTTATGTAAAAAATTTACATCGAAATGTAATTCACTTATGAAGCAAACTTACTAAATATAATACTTAAAAAGCATACACTTACATTACAAAGTAATATAAAACTACATCATAACAACAAATTACTTTTCCGTGTAAAAGTAACTAATTAGCAAAACTGCTTACTTAGGGCCTGATTATATGAGGAAATATACCCTGCTTTGCCGAGACTGGACGATTAGCCGAGATCTCGGTATAACGGTTAACTATACATTAAGTCTTAAAAGCGATTACATGAATTTTTTTAACCCGTCCCACCATACCAGGATAATTTCTCTGCCTAGAGTCCCGCTTTAACAACAGGGAAACTCGTTTGAAAGGGATATTTATTTCTCATGAAATTATATTATCTTGCCTAAACGAGATGATTTACTCCCAACACGCATGCGTTAATGCAACTCGATAATTGTAAAAATAGCTGCGTGTTCACATAAAAAAATATTTAAGTGGAATGATGAAATGGTAATCGATCTATTAAAATGTTTAAAACTATACAAATCAAGTATGGAATATATTGGAAAAGACTTTAATAATGATAGACCTGCGCAGTACACTTTTTTACGAAAAGAAATGGCTGGTAAATATAAAAATGAGTTTGTTAACTTCTTTGGACCTACATGTGTTTAAGTCTTGTATGCACAAATGAAATGTTAGAAAGTGAAATTGATGAAATAAAAGAAGATATCAAAGAAAAAAGCAGATTAATAAAAGTAAAAAAAAGTAAAAGAAATAAGACAAAAATTTACCACAGCAGTATTAAAAGTCAAAATGGTAGTGGCAGAATTATTTTAGAACACTTTGATTTGTTACGAGAAAGATGATATAGAACTACGTAAAGAAGTTGTTAATCCCCTAAAAAAATCAAACCAAACATTTTCTGATGCAAAGAAAAGTATAGGTGAGTCGATGAAATTTTTAACGGAAAGCATCAAAACCCCAGTTCAGTTTTTAGGACAAGGGTATAGTAGCTCACCAGCTTACTTTCATACACAAGGAGCTTACTTACCCTCATGAGAACAGTTTTTTGTCCATCCTAGTACCCGCTACAATTCTTGCTTAAAAAAATCAAGAAGAACAATCTAAAAGTTTTGACACACAATTGCGTAGTATTCATTCAACGTAATAAATACTTAATATTGAAAAAAAATTATTTCTTTTTCTTACTTTATCTGTGTTGCAAAAATAAATA